GAGACGTCTTGAGAATTTGCTCGATTTCGTCTGATTCGGGCGGGGCTTCGCGTGCGGCGTCCTCAATCTGCCTGCATTGCTGCGCTTCGGGCGACAGAGCGCAGCGCCGCACGAGAGAAAAGGCAGGCGCAAGCTGCGCAATGCAACCTGTGTGTAGCAGACCCGCACAGCGCCGCCCCCAAATATCTGACCGGCTACAGGCCCGCATTGGCCCGTGGACAGGAGTCGGAGGAACCTGTGCCAGCCCTGTCGTACGTGTGCGCCCAAGAAGTCCCAACACGGTCCCAAGACGGCTCGATCGGGCCAAGACGCTGCCCAATGATGCCCCCGAGAGGCCAAGTCGTCCGAACACCGTCACTTGTCTAGTGCTTGTTTTTCTCCCAGCTCTTTCGCGTTGGATGCCTTCGGGAGCTTTCAAAAAGGCTCCAACGATGGTACAAGAATGCCATGAGAAGGCCCCAACACTCAAGACAGCCCACAAGGGACTCTGGAGAGGCCTAAGCGATGCCCCAAGACAGCTCCAGAGGGCGCCAAGGCGGCTCAAAGACCCCAAGATGCGCCACAGTAGCCCCAGAGAGCCCAAGAAGCCCCGAAGAGGCCACCGAAAGTTCTCGAGGCGACCCCCAAGAGACCCCCAAGATGGCCCGGCAGGACCCTTTTGAACGCGGGGTTAGGCGTCCCAGGCAGTTGCACGTCACCAACAGGCTTGGCTTGTATGACAACGCACCCCCAGTAGAGAGGCATGCAGGGCCCCCGAGGGGCCAGCGGTGGGGCGTAAGCGAATGCGGCCACAGACAGGCAAACGCCTGGCGCGCTTTCGACCGCTGGCGCCAAAGCGCCTGCGCTCAGCGCTGAACCCAGGAGTGTTTCAGCAAGGGCAGCGATGCGTGGATCAGGCTGGCTGACCGGCTGCATCAAGCACTGGATCGCTTCCTTGCAAATTGTTTATTCGAACATGCTGGTTCGCAATCTGTCGAAACCAATGGCCCTCCAATACCACCCAGAGTTCATCAACTTTCCTGCGGCACACTGTCCATTCGGTGTACGAGATCCTGGAACTGCTCTGCATGCGCCAACTGCGATTAAGCACCAGCGCTGGTACCAGACACCACGTCGAAATTACCAGAGAGGGCGTCCGAAACAGAAGCCCCGTGGCCGGGCCGGTGAAGGCGCTACACGAGAAGAAAGCCGCGCCCCTCAGGCTCACCGCGCGCACCTTTTCCTCTTTGCCAAGCCTTCGGGCCCACTCCAAGGGCCGCAGCGTCAGAGGACGGCCGCGCCGCGTGCGCGGCCGCACGCTGCTCGGCCGCACCAGAGGCCAGAGGCAGAGGCCTCCCGGGCTGATGAGCCAGGACAGCGAGGACACATCAACCCCCGACCTCGGGCGACAGGGAGCGCACCCCCTGCTCCGAGTCCTCCGACGGATCTGCACACGGGGCTCTCGTCCGCCAGGGGGGCGGCGGGGCGCGGCCAGGCGCCGTCGCTGGGGGGCGCAGGGGGTGGCGTGGGCGCCACTTGCGCGAGGCCTGGCCTGCAGCGGAGCACTCGCCGCAGAGGTTCTGTGGGGAGCCCGAGCTGCTGTGGGGGGATTGGGCTCCGGAATCCCCCGGCCAGTCTCCTGGCGACGTCTCAGACGGGCGTAGAGCTGGCCCTGCGGCCTAGGACCCGACACGTGTGCATGGGCGACGTGGGAGCCAGCGGGGGAGAGCTGGGCCAGAAAGAAGATGGGAGATGCCTGGAGTCTCAAAGATCGGCGGAGCTATAGATATGCGCCGCCTTCCGCCAAGCGCGGATCTACTCAGCACGTTCCCAAAGATTTTCCCTCCGCCGACCTCGCTAGCGGGCACTCAGAGCGATTAGCAACGACGACGCCAATCAACAAAACCTATCGGCCCCGATCAACCTTCTGGCCTCGCGACAAAGGTGATCAACATCGACATATTGAGAAGGAGCCGGACCATAATCATGACGAAACATGAGCAGGAGCTGGACGGAGGAAGATAGGAGGTGAGAAAGGGACGGTAACGATGGTGATGCTGCTGCTGATGATGATGATGATCATGACTACGATGATCATGGTGGCTGCTGCTGCTGGTGATGATGATCTTGATGATGATGGCGATGACGGTGATGATGGTGATGACCATGGTGGTGGTGGTGGTGGTGGTGATGGTGATGGTGATGGTAATGACGATGATGACGATGATGATGATGATGATGATGATGATGATGATGGTGATGATGGTGATGATGGTTATGATGATGATGCTGATGATGATGATGATTATGATGATGATGATGATGGTGATGATGGTGATGATGGCGATGATGATGGTGATGATGGTGATGATGGTGATGATGATGATGATGATGATGATGATGATGATGATGATGATGATGATGATGGTGATGATGATGACGAGTGTGGTGATGGTACTGACGACGAGGAGGAATGGCCAGCCAGCGCCGGCGGCCCCCTTCCAGCGGCGGGGGCCTCCGCGCGCAACGCCGCGAGGCTGTCCAGGCGCTCCTGCGCCCGGCGCTCTGCCCCCCCCCCCCCCGCCCCCCCCCCCACCCCCACCCAGCTCACGCGCGCCCGCCAGGCGTGGCGGGCGGCTGGCGTGCACCCCGCTCCCGCTCCCGCGATACCCTCCCTTCGAGAAGCCACCACTGCCCGGCCAGGGCCATCCGGGGCCGTGGCGTGGTGCACCTGCCCCTCCGGGAGGGCCAGGAGCGGTGCCCCTCCTGGAGGGCCAGATACCTTCTTCGGATCCCCATCCCCTCCCCACCCCCCGGGCGTTCCTCACCGACTCCCTCTCCCCCCTCTCCGCCTCCCCGCCCCCCGGGGTCCCCATCGACCTCAATCGCACCCATCGCCTTTCGCTGATCGCTTTTCCTCCCAGCCCCCCGTGCCCCTCCCCCGTAACCCCACCTCCTCCTCCTCCTGCTCCTCCTGCTCCTCCTGCTCCTGCTCCTGCTCCTGCTCCTCCTCCTCCTTCTCCTCCTCCTCCTCCTCCTTCCATCTGTTCCAAGGGTGGGTCAGCCTTCATACCGCATCCGATGTTACAGGGCTATGCCTACCCTCGAAGGCACTATAATCCTCCTCCAGATCCTCCTGCTCCTCCTCCTCCTCCTCCTCCTGCTCCTCCTCCTCCTCTACGCTTACATGATCTGAACACCACTCTTCCCTCTCCCGTGATTTTGCGCCAACGTGCTCTCCGCCTCTCTTGTTTCAACGCAACATACGTAAAACAACTGTTGTTGGCCACAATGTTGTTGTTTCGGCCGGAACGTCCACCGTCCTCCACAACTGCGGTTCCCGCTAAGGCGCTGGCCGCACTTCAGGATCCGTGCCCTGCCTTCGTTCGGAATGGCGCTCTCTCCCCAGCGAGGGCGATAGTTCTGGATCCAACGTTTTCATCGTGGTTGCTGTTCCCGTCTTTCCACATCCTCTAGTCTCAGTTTATCCGTCTGCTTCTCTTCCTCTTCCTCCTCCTCCTCCTCCTCCTCTTCCTCCTCCTGTCATGCGTCCTCCTCTTCATCCTTATCGTCTGCCCCCTCGCCCATCCTATGCGCCTTCTTCGAGGAGGAACAAAAGGCATAAGCTTGCACTTTCGGAGCTCCGCACGGATATCTGGGATCGGCGCTGGGACGCGCCGCCAGGGGTGGCGCCAGAGTCGCCGCCAAGGGTCCAGCGCGGATCCAAGAAATCCGCGCGGAGCTCCGAACATTTATGCTTATGCCGTTTCTTCTCCTTCGGCTCCTGCTCCTACAGTCAGGTGAATATTGTTGGTAGTGTGAGCGCATGTTGCAATGAACCACATAACCGAAACACGAACCACAGAACCGAACCGACCGAAGGAGAACCGACGGAACCGGAACCCGTCAGAAACCCGACGCGAACCGAAACCGAACCGAAGCAAAGGCGGTGGAACCGAAACGGGCCCGAACCGGGAACCGAACCGGGAACCGGTCGTGGAGGTGGACCCTTGGGAACTGCCCGATGCGAGCGCCCACTCTTGCGCTAGGTCCATCCCACCCGCTCCCAACTCCTCCCCTGCGCCCCCGAGTTCCCTCGTCCTGTTTTGCTGCTTGTCCACGGCCGAGCTGGGGACGGAAGGACGGCGGAAAAACTCAAATCGCATTTTTGGATGGTTCGAAAATCCGTTTTGGGCCCCCAGGTGGTTTTCGGAACCCCCAAGGCTGCTCTGGGATTGGCAGGGCGGCGGAAAAGCTCAAATCGCAGTTTTGAAGGATTCGAAAATCCGTTTTGGGCCTCCAGTTGGTTTTCGGAGCCTCCAGGGCTGCACTGGGGACGGAAGGGCGGCGGAAAAACTCAAATCGAATTGTTGGACGGTTCGAAAATGCGATTTGGGCTTCCAGGGGTCCTCGGGGCCTCCAAGGCCGAACTGGCGACGGCGGCCTGGGCTGGGGCCCCCACCAGCCTGCGCGCGCGCCTGCGTTTTGAATCGCCCGCTGTCGCCAGAGCCCCCTGGTCCGGGGGGCACGATGCTGTCGACTGGTCCGTCGAGGGCACCATGCATAACGTCTGGGCCCAGTGGCTCCCCTGGTTCGTCGGGTAGCTGGGCCCAGCGGCTCCCCTGACCCCAGGGTTCCTCCTGACTCCTGGTCGAACTGAACCTCCAAACGCCTCGATATGATCATGAGACGCACACGCGCACACGTCATCTGCAAGAGCCGAGAACCGAAATGACATCGACTGAAACGGAACCGCACTCTGTATGGGAACCGCTTCCAACAGCTCCGAAACCGGAACCGCACTGAACCGAACCAATTTCCCCCCGAACCGAAACGAACCGATCGGAACCGGGGACACGCCGATGTTAGCATATCGGAAGCGCACGCGCACCCGCGCGCGCACGCGCTCAGGATGGGGCTCGGGCTTGGGCTCGGACTCAAGCGCGCGCTCGGGCTCGGGGTCCAGCTCGCGCTCGGGCCGCGCGCACCCGCGCGCGCACGCGCTCGGGAAGGGGCTTAGGCTCGGGCTCGGTCTCAAACTCGCGCTCGGGCTCGAGCCCCGGTTCGCTCTCGGGCTCGGGCTCGCGCTCGCGCCCGGACTTGCGCGCGCGCTCACGCGCGCACACACTCGAGCGGAAACGCGCGTGTGCACGAATGCGCGCGCGCACGAACGCGCACACGCGCAGGAACGCGCACGCGCGCACGCTCTAGCGTGCGCATGCGCACGCGCGCACGCACGCCCACGCGGACTGCCCCTTTGTGAGGGCGCGGCGTTACTACTATGCTAGGACACCCACCCCTGGGCCCCGTACCCCCGCCCCCACCTTCTTTTTATACGCGGGCCTGTTGGAGGGCACTCACGCCACAGGCGGGCCCCACAGGGTCGAGCCAACCACGTGGCCAGTTGAGCCGAGCATTGTTGCCACTGCAGCTCGTGATTTATTTGCATGAATTGCTGCAGGTGTGCAGGTCTGCATGCATACATCATTGCGTGGATGCGTTGCGAACCGTTGCCGGCGAGGCTCGAACCTAGAAGTCGCAAGACACGTCCTGGAGCCAAGCGGCAAAATTGGGCCACCCCACCTTGGAACCCATAGAGTCCACGGAGGAATAAACACCGGCATTGACATGAACTTTTGACGGTCCGCGCGTCTGCGCTGGGACCGTCCCTGGCGGCGCCTCCGGCGCGCCCCTGGCGCGCTCCGCATGCTGGACCCCCCTCCCCTGGCGCGCGGAGCGCGCCAAGGGCGGCGCCAGGGGCGCCGCCAGGGACTGTCCCAGCGCAGGCCCGAGAAATCCGCGCGGAGCGCAAGTGCTTCTGTTTACGTGTTTCTGTTCCCCTTTCGAACCCTGCCTACCAAACCACCCCAACCCAACCCGAAGACCCGAATTTCGGGTTGGGGGGGGGGGTACGGGCTTCATGTGTGTTTTTTGAATGGTCCCCGACCCCCCCCAACTGGAAATGGAGGGCACATCGGAGCCTTCGGGTTGGGATGCGGGTGGTCTGGCGGGTGGTGAAACCCAGCGTGTCTCACCCCGAACCTTCGCCGCAGATGGTGATGCCTTGCGCCACGGGTGGCCTCACGACGGGGCCCACCCGGGCTCCAAGGGGGCGCCCCGCCGCGGTGTGCCCTTCAGCCCTCGGTCACGCGCCTGCCGTCGTCTCCCCAGCGGTCGTGCGCTGCCTCGTGCTTGGGTCAAATCGGGCATGTCCTCCTACAGGTGGGTATCGGAAGAGAAACAGAAAATGGTCAGACAAACAACAACACATATTCAGAACAGCTAGAACAATCGCCACCATACTATTTCTTCGCTACTGCTGTTGCTTCCTCCTGTGAAGGGACATGCCCGACTCAACGCTTGGGGCCTAAACCACCTAGCAGTCGCGCGTCTTGTCACGAGCCGAGGGTCTCCCCCTGCCTCCCTACCCCAAAAAGCTGTGTGCCAACCCCTACCAAGCGCAAGGCGCACGCGCGGCTTTCCGCGAGGCGCCCAAACAGACCTGGTCCGCATCGGCGTGCGATTCCTCTCCCCATCTCCATGTCTGTGTCTCTCTCTCTCTCATTTTCTTTTCTCTCTCTCTCTCTCTCTCTCTCTTTGCCGTCTCTCTCTCTCTCTCGCTGTATCGATGTCTCTTAAGTTGACTAAAGTTCTATCTCTGTCTCAATATTTGTCTGCTTCGTACTCCCTTTCTCTCTTTCCCTCGTTCTCTTTCTCATGTGTGCAGTTCTCGCGCTCTCTCCCTCTCTATCTCTCTCTCTCTCTATATATATATATATCCCTCTGTCTCTCCCGCTGCGCTGCCGCAACCTTCACGCGTGCGAAAGAAGGGCTGGCCTCCTCCCCTTCGGGGTCGCCCTGGGCGATGGCGCCCCTGCTGCGGCGCCGCGCATTACAGCACGAGGGGGGCGGAGTGGCAACGATGGGGAAGTGGTGGGGAGGGAGGGAGGAGGGAAGGGAAAGGAGGTGGGAAAGGAGAGACGGCGGGGGGAGGGACGGGGAGGGGGAGAGGGGGAAAGGGGGCAAGCTGGCGCGCGCGCGGGCCACATCCGCTGGCGGGTGTCCCATTGCGGACGTGGGCCCCGCAGACGGCCCCACCCTGCGATGCGCAACCACAAACGGGAGTTGCGTACAGGACCAGGAGGACAACGAGGAGGATCAGGACCAGAATCAGGAGAATGAGGAACGGGAGGGGCGGCAGGACCAGGGGAAGGCGGAGGGGGCGCAACGACGAGAAAGACTCGGATCCCAGAAGTGCGGTCCGCGCTGCGACGACAGCGCCAGTCTGCACGACGGGAGCACAACGACTATGCTGAAATGCAGCCAACGCTGGTTTGGGAACGCGCTTTGTGAAGGACTGAACCTTTTCCGACTAAGATAAACAGAAAGTATCACATGACGAAGTCCCACGTGCAAGAGAAAGGCCGCGGCACCGCTGCACGTGATCTAGGGGGGCAGGGTGGTGGTGGAAAGGGAGCACGCAATGCAGCGTAGCAAGGCGCCCAAACGGCGCATAGGCATGACTAGTGACTCTTCGACGTAGGCTCAGGAAAACATTGCGCGAAGAAGGGGAGCGAAGAGGAGAGAAGGGATGACAAATAAACATGCAGAAATCCGCGAAGCGCGTACTGCAAGATACACGCGCGATCCACTGCAACTTTGGGCGTCCGTGTTTGCGCGTGCGGTGTCGTTACCTTGGTGTGTTCCCTCCAGGCCCGCGCGCGAGACCACGCAATACATGGCGTTCGGGAGCACGTGCGATCATGAGATATGAGTCGCCCCATGTTTCTCACATGTCAAGCCTCCGTGGACGAGCGTCTGCACGTGCTCTCGCTTCCACACTCGGTCAGCTCAAAAGCACGCCACAAACGGACCGCTCGGATACTGTCCACCCTGTCACGACTTGTCTGGAGAAACAGAATCGACTCCGAAATGCACACAATCTTCAAGTTTCACAACTCGGCGGCAACGCGGACCATCCTGGCCGGACCCATCCATAGGAACAAGCAGTGACATAGGCATAACAGCTCGAAGGTCCGCGCGGATTTCTCGGATCGGCGCTGGGGCCCCCTGGCGTCGCCTCCGGCGGCGCCCCTGGCGCTTGGGGAAGGACGGAACAGCAGGTGGGCCGTTCGGTGCGTCTCTGCTGGGCTGGCCCCGCGCCGCGCACCACAGAGGAAGGAACACAGAAGCATAACGAATGAAGAGGAGGAGGAGGAGGAGGAGGAGGAGGAGGAGAAGGAGGCGGAGGAGGAGCAGGAGGAGGAGGAGGAGGAAAAGGGGGGAGGAGGAGGAGGAGGAGGAGGGGGAGGAGGGAAAGGAGGAAGAGGAGGAGGAGGAGGATGAGGAGGAGGAGGGAAAAGAGGAAGAGGAGAAGGAGGAGAAGACGGAAGAGGGGGAGGAGGACTGGGAGAAGGACTGGGAGAAGGAGGAGGAGGAGGAGGAGGAGGAGGGGAAGGAGGAGGAGGAGGATGAGGAGGAGGAGGAGGAGGAAGAGGGAGAGGAGGCTGTGTTATGGCATGGAGGAGGAGGGAGGCCGTGGATGAGGGAGGAGGATGAGGCTGTGGTATGGCAGGGAAGGAGAGGAACCCAGTAGCGTACCGGACCCACCCTGGACAACAGGGCGCGGCCACACTAGTTTACTTAGCATTCAGCCGCAGCGCAGGCCAGCCTTCTAATGTGCCAGATTTGAGCCACACTCAGCAATTGTGTTATCACGCAGCGGGTCAGTTAAGTTACTTCCAGCAGATGACAATACTCAACCTTGTTTCAGGCCCCCTGGTTCCAGGGCGTGGCCCCCATGTAACATTCGCCAGCTCTTGTTTTAGCTTGCTACTCGCCACCTTCTATAATCAGTGGTAGGGTTAGGGGTGGTGGAGGACGTCGAGGATGGAGGGAAGAGGAGGCCTTGCCGAGAGAGAGAGAGAGAGAGAACTAGATATAGCAGTTCCTGTTTCGCACTGCCAACGGCATGCCAGCCTGATCTTACAGAAAGCAATTCTAGGCCTGCCATACTTCGTGCCAGCCAGCAAGTTTACGCAACCAGCCTCAGCCGTACCGACTCGGCTGTCATCGCTACAATCGACTGTATGGATGATTCTGGGGGTGGGGCTTTATCGGCATTCATCTGGGGGACGGGGGATGTGGGTGCATCGCCAATGCAACCATACCCTTGTCGCATTGCCAACGGCAGACCAGCCTGAATGTACAGTAAGCACTATAGGCCAATCATACTTTGTGTCAGCCCCAGCAAGCCACCTGGGGGGCATAGCAGCACACATCACCCGTTTCGCACTGCCTCCGACATGCCAATCAGATACTGCAGGTGGCATCACAGGCCAGCCATATTAGAGTGCCAGCTCCAGCAAGTTTGGAATGTTCGGCCCAGCAGCTCACATACCTTGAGCTTAGCAACATGTCCCCTTCAGCCTCTACACATCGCCTCCAACACGCCGCGGGACAGTCACTTTCAGCAGTTGAATGTACTCAACCATCTTTCAAGCCCTCCTGGATCCAAGGCGTGGCCCTGCTCTAGCCCTGCCGTTACATATGTGTATATATATATATATACATGTGTGTACAGGCGCTTTCCGCGCGCCGTCAGGGGCCCGGCCCGCCGCGGCCGGTCAGCAGACCGTTGTGTTGTTATGTTTCTTCTTCTACATCTATGTATGTGTACAGCATAATGCGGTTTCTTGATCTAGTAGCGCTACCTCGCTCTCTGTTACACGTCGCCTGGCCTGCAATATTTTGTGTCAACCAGCAAGTTTACGCAACCAGCCTCAGCCGTACCGACTAGGCAACCATCGCTACTATCGACTGTACTGATGATTCTGGGGATGAAGGGGAAGTCGGCACACTTGGGAAGGGTTGTGGTGGTTGGGGGTGCTGACGTCTGGCCGTTTTGGCCTTCGGCGGAGGGGCTTCTGCACTACTGTGGGCCGCCGTACCTTGTCACCTCCTTCCTCACTGTCCAGCGCTCCCATCTCACCTTGAGATTTGTACTTCGCGATACTGACTTTAGCAGCGCTACATCACTCTCTATGAGTCGCCTGCTCTCTGCATTCTTCCATCACCATGCACGTGTATGTCGACCTCTCCCTCCTTCGGTGTCCTCCCTGCGCCTCTTTCTGTTGAATTCCACTGTCGCCTTTCTGTACCCGCTAGGCACGCCACTCCTCCGTTTAATTTGTTTGTTACATCGCCTAAGTCGGCGATCTTTTTCAGTGTGAACGCACCAGGCACTAGCTCATGCCTGCTCACATCAAACACGAGGGAGAGGAGGGAAAAGTGGAGGAGGAGGAGGAGGAGGAGGAGGAGGAGAAGAAGGAAGAGGGGGAGGAGGAATATGGGGAGGAGGATGAGGATGAGGAGGGGGAGGAGGAGGTGGAGGAGGAGAAGGAGATGCGGGGGAGGAGGAGGAGGAGGAGGAGGAGGAGGAGGAGGAGGAGGAGGAGGAGGAGGAAGAGGAGGAGGAGGAGGAGGGCGGGCCGGGGCGGCACTGCGCGCCGGGAGCCCGCTTCGCACACGATGCGGGGGTGGGGCTGGCGGGCGTGGCGCTCGGGCGGCCTCGCCCCGTGCGCGGCGTCGAAAGGCACGGCAGCGGGCGCGCCCACGGCGCCAGCTGGGCGCTGGCGGGCCGGGCGGCGGGGGCCGCCGTCGTCGTGCGAGACTCCTCCTCCTCCTCGGCCTCGGTCTCGTCCTCGTTTTCGTCGTCGTCGTGGTCGTCGTCGCGGTCGTCCTCAACGTCGTCGTCGTCGTCGTCGTCGTCGTCGTCGTCGTCGTCGTCGTCGTCCTTCTCCTCCTCGCCACGGGGGGCGCGGGAGCGGGCAGCTGGAGGGCGGGGCCGCCGAGGGAGGGGGCTGCCGATACAGGCCGTGAGAAGCGAGGCCTCGCGCGAGAGGGCATGGTGACCTTGCGCCGGAGCAGTGGATCCAGGCCGTGACGAATGGCGCCCGCCGCTGCTGACCAACCATGGCCGAAACCAACCCAAACAGGCACAGGTACCTGCAGCATTCATTTTCAATTCCTGCCTTGTGTTCCTGGGCGCAAGCCGTTACACGATCGCTGGTGCGCCTGATGCGCAACCAGCTGCAGGGCTGCAGGCTACCCAGGCCGCCACGGAGAGGACTGTGACAGGGGGAAGGATGCCAAGGAACATAACCCACCCAAGGGTTCGCAAGGCAACAACGACGATGACGACGAGGTTCTCCTCCAGGGGACGAGTCGTCATGCCACGGCACGCTGATGCGTGAGCCGATATGCCGAGGCAACCAGAAGGACGGCAACGCCGATACGCCGAGGTACACACGACAACGCTTCGCCTTTTGCCACACCTCCGCCTTGGCGCGACCTTGCGCCAGAGCGGTGGATCCAGGCCGTGAAGAATGCGATTCGACGCGAGAGGACATGGCGACCTTACGCCGCGGCTCGCCCGGGCCGCCAGCGTGGCACGCCAGTGTGGAGACGAAGGCGCTCACGCGCGACCTAGCGCGGGCAACTTATGCGCCAACTGCTGACACTGGCCGCCGACCCGGCACGCCACATTGGAAACAAATGCGCTCACGCGCGACCAAACGCGACCAGCGTACCGTGGCCGCCCGCGCGGCGCGGGCGCACTCGAAGCGGGCGCGATCGAAATTGTGTCGGTCAGAAATCGCCCCGTCGGGACCACTCTTCTTGAGCTGATACAAGAGCCGAAGGAGGATGACAAGGAGGAGGAGGAGGAGGAGGAGGAGGAGGAGGAGGAGGGCAGACTCTGCGATCCGAGCCGATTGAAGTTCGCCCAGCGTCAGAAAGGACGAGGAAAAGGAGGACAGAGTCAGGACGGGGGAAACGGGTGAGCCCCCTGCGCGATACGACGTGGCTGCAACACCCCTTCATGTTAATCATTCGGCCCCTTCTGCACTCTTCTAGTGGAGCTCGCCCTGGCTTGCCCCAGTGCACCTGAAGGATCGACAACCAAGGAATGTTGGCAGGCTCTCTGTACCTTCAATTCTCTCCCTCTGTCTGTCTGTCTGTCTGCCTGTCTGTGTGTCTGTGTGTCTGTGTGTCTGTGTGTCTGTGTGTCAATGTGTCTGTCTGTCTGTCTTTCTGCCTGTCCTTCCGTCCGTGTGTCTCTCTCTCTCTCTCTTTCTGTTTTTCGTTGTTTCGCTCTGTCTCTCTCTCTCTCTCTCTCTTTCTCTAGTCCATGTGCTCTCTCACATGCACTTTCTCCTTCCCTTCTCTCTCTGTCTCTCTTTTTTTTTGTCTGGCCCTGTGCCCTCCCGAATCATGACCCGTCTGTTCAACCATCCATATTTGACATATCTCGGTCTCTCTTTCCCTCTCTCTCTCTCGTTTCTCTCGTTGCTCTTTTTCTGTAAATTGTTAATTTGATATCACACCCTTTCTGCTTTGCTTCTCTCTCTCTCTCTCTCTGATATCCACACGGTATATGGATATGGTACATGCTATCTATGGTGTATCCATATACATCTATGGATACACACGGTATATGTTATATGGTATCTCGCTCCTCCAGCACAGTCTCTCTTTCACCATCCCTCGAAGTCATGTTTTGTTGTTTGTCTTTCTCTCTCTCTCTCGTTTCATCTCTCTCTCTCTATTCCTCGCTCTCTCTCTCTCTCTGTGTCTCTCTCTCTCTCTCTGTCTCTCTCGTTTGTGTATATATGCGTGTGACTGTGTTTGTTGTTGGTTTCCCTTCTCTTTCTCTCTGTATATAAAACACATATTCCAAGTCAGTCGACCGCCCGAGCCCAAATACCACAGGCATCGGGCAGAGCGAGAAGATGCACATTCGTGCTGTCACGCGGGGTTGTATCCTCGAACGGCGCTATAAGTGATGCGATGGTGGTAAAAGAGGGGGGGGGGCGTTGACGCCCCTTGTCCGGGTTGCGGAGACGGGGCCCCCGTTGCGCCGGAGCCCGAGCCACTTCCAAGAACCTCGCGCCCCCCCCATCAGCGATGGGAGTGGGCCACCAAGGAGGAGGAACGGGGGCGGAGGCCTGGAAGCGCGGGGGGGTCGGTCCCAGGGGCCCCCGCGCCGGGCGCCGCGAACGCGGGGGCCCGCCAGCCGCGCCGCGCCCCCCCGCGCCCCGCCGCAGCGCCATTGCCGCCCCCGTGCCGCACCGCGCCGCGCAGCAGGGAGCAGGGGAGGCGGCCCCAGGGCCTCTCCCCAGTCCTCGGGGGCGCCCGCAGGCCCGACCCCCGCTCCCAGCAAGGGGGCCCTCGGCCTGGGCCATCGCAGTGGGGCCTCGGCCGTGCCTCGGTCGTCTGTGAATCGGAAGCACGCCGTGGCGCCTTCCAGCACGGCCCGCTCTCGGCAACCATGGATGGCACGCCCGAAGGCGTTTCTGAACGGGTTATTCAGCAACGGCCCGATCTACGAGCTCCCTCCAGGATGAACTCCGCGGCTTCCGCAAACTGCACGACGGTCCCCTCGAACTCGGCCTCCTCTGCCTGCAGCGCGAGGTGCGCGGCGCGGGCAGAGGAGGTCGTACTCGTCCCTGTGCAACACCTTGCTGACCCACCGCCGCGCGGCGTCGAGGGCACACGGCCCAATGGCCAGCATCAGCGCTCAACCGTTGCTCAAAATCGGCTGAGCGCCTGAGCCCAAATGGCCACAGGTACCGGGCTGAATGAGAGGATGCACATTCGTGTTGCCACAGGGGGGGACTATGTCTGAACTCTCTCTCATTATCCTCATTCGTGCTCGGCCTTCTTCGAGCTTGCATTCCGCTGCACACTATTTGTTTTCGCAACCGTCTGATGCACGTATCTCGCTAGTCTACGGCGACGCGAAAATCCATACGATGATCTGCTGGCGTCATGCTCGCACGATGGACGGCGCACCGCCTCTTCCCGATGGTGAACCCTCAAAACAAAGGTTATGGAATGTGAAACACGGGGACGTGACCCCAAAGACCGTCATCATGTGAGAGCACGGTTGAAATTAATTGGAGCACATACTTCGAGCTGAATTCATCCCATTCCCCCGCAACGTTTCTTCTCACACGCTGGCCGTTCCCAACGATCGTCGGCACGGAAGCACAACCAACTCCATATTGCATTTGCCTTCCCTCCACTCTTATCCATTCTCGTCCTCATGCCCTGCCTTTCCCTTCACTTCTTCAGCTCTCCCCGACCGTCCAAGATCTATACAGCACACCACGGTGTCAACTATATTGACCTGATGCATCATAATACAAGAGCCCAGTGCTCACAAATGAATAATTCGGCATGCGGTGAAAGCTACGAAGAAAACTGTAGCGCCGGGTGTTGCATTGTGCTAGCGCCCCAGAAAAGTCGAAGTGCCAACAGACACTGAAATACCAATGCTGACACCTTAGGGTTGCTTAGTGAGGCTACTCCTGCACGGAAGGCGTACTGACATGCATTGTACGTGAAAAACGGCACCTACCTCTACGGTAATTGGCCTTCCCTGAAAGGTCTTCGTGTCCCAGTCCGTACTTGATGGGCTGGCCAAGCAAAACAGAATGGTCTCATCAAAGAGCGAGAACTCGATTGGCGCCTGCAGCCAGGGGGGGGCAATTGGCACTGGAACGCTATGCGAGGGCATCATACATAGCAACTGCCGGGGACATCAAGGAACTTTGCAACGGGCATATCCAGCATCGACGCGCACGCACGCACGCACGCGCACACGCACGCACACGCACACGCACACGCACACGCACACGCACACGCACACGCACACGCACACGCACACGCACACGCACACGCACACGCACACGCACAGACACACACACACAAACACACACACACACACCTACGCCTACATACGCCCCTCGCATCTCCCATCCTCGTTCCCATTTCTTCCCCCCCCCCTCCGCTCGGAGCCACGCCAATCCCACCTCGCCTTTCCCCCGCCACCTCCCAACTCCGCCTCCTCCCCGGTCCCATTCAGCTATTCCTCTTCTTTCTCCTTTTCGTCCTCCAATCTTATTCCTTATGAATAACTCCTCCCTGTCGCGCCCCCCAGACGTGTCGGTAGGGCGGGCCAGGCGTTTCGCCTGAGTCGTCCACACCACTTCTGATAATGCAGCTTGACATTCGTAACAGTTTCACGGGCGGAGGTTGGGTCCTCTGTTGAATGTGGATCTCGCCTGAGCACCGCGCGCACTAGTGACTAGTGTCAAAGTCTGCGACAATTTAACGGATGGAGGGCGGGCCCTTTTCACGATGTGGATCTCGCCTGGGCGCCGCGCGCCGTTGTTTTAAAATCGGCACCCGCTTCGCGGATAGAGGGCGGATGGTGCCGCGCATGTTCGTGTCATAAAAGTTTGCAACAGCTTCACAGGCGGAGGGCGGGCCCTCTTCAGAATGTGGCGCTCGCATTGACGCCGCGCATATTCGCGTTAAACGTCTGCGACAATTCAACCGATGGAGGGCGGGTCATTTTCACAACGTGGCTCTTGCCGTTGCGCCGCCCACAATGTGAAATAACTTCACGGATGGAAGGCGGGTGGTTTTCAACGTATGGTTCTTGCCGTAGCGCCGCGCATATCCGGGTACAAAATTGATAGCTGTTTCCAAGATGAATGGCGGGCCCCTTTTCAAAATGTGGCTATCGCTGTACGCCGCAAACGTGTGTCGTGCAAGTCTGCAACCATTTCCGGATGGAGGGCGGCTCCTTTTCAAATGTTGCTCTCTCTTCAACGCCGCGTGCATTCGCTGTAAACCGATGCAGCAGTTTCACGGATCCGTATGGTTCAATTCCTAGAAATGCCAGGACGCACCAGTCACGTTGATTCGCGGCTTTGGCGTCCCAGGAAGGGTTCCTGGCACGATTCAGGATTGCCAGGGCACGCTTTGAGTGGCAGCGTTGAAGCCCCGCGGATGGTGTTTTGGCACGGTCGAAAACGCGCAAAGGTTTGCTTTCCACTGGGCCATTTCCTGAAATTCACATATTTTTCGTAGGGCCAATGAAGAGGACACTTGGAGGGACGGCTTAATGCAACATCGCTGACGCTCTTTCGGGTTACACAAATCACCCTCCTCGTCATCCTCATCGTCTTCGTCGGCGCCATCTTCGACACAATCAGCATCACAACCGCCACCCTTTCTCCCCCCCCCTCTCCTCCTCCCCCAGGAGGGCTCGACCCATTCCCCAGGACCGGAATTACGTCCCGAGTCGTTTTCTGACAATCCCGAGGCCTCGTAAAGGCCACCAGAGGCCGAAGATAGCCACCCGCCTACCCAGACTTCCGACATCTCGATTTTGTTCGAAACGCGGGCGTCCGAGCTCTCGGCGACTTCCCGGTGAGGGCCCCGAGAAGCCGCAATCGGCACAAAACCTTCATCCGGATCGTTTCGAACCGCCGGATGCCTGGGACCTGCGCGCACCGTGCTGCCGGGCAGCTGCGCAGGCCCGCCTGCGGCCGCGCCCCCCCGCCGCCGCGGCGCACCCTCCCGGCTCCAGCGCAGCTCGCCCGGACGGGCGCCCGCGAGGGCGCCCGCTGCTGCTGGCGTGGGGCCGCGCTCCCTGCGCCCGCCCCCGCGGGGCCTCGCCGCCCGTCGGCGGGCGGCGGCGGCGGAGCGCAGCAGAGCGCGTGGCCCTCAGGCAGGGGCTCCGTGCACCGCCGCGGCGCCCGTCCGCAGAGGGCCCCCGAGCTCGGGCTCCCCGAGGCCGGCTCTCCGGGCTGCGCCCCGTGCCTGGGCACCGCCGTGGAGCGGCGGGGCGTGCACCTCCGCGTGGCCTGGGCGGGCCTCGCGTCGAAGGGCCTCTCACACACGCCGACCGGGCCGGCGGATTTTGTACCGTGCTCTCACCAAGAGGACGCGGAGGCGACGCATGAGAGCAGCCATGGGCACGTATACGAGATCTATGGGTCTCCCGCACTTCTGGAAGTGATTATTCTGTACGTTCCGAGCTGATGTTCGCCTGGTTCACGCCATTCTGCACAGTGTTAGGTCGGGCGTGTCTCCTACAGGCGGATGTTGGTCGAAGGATTAAACATACTCCGAAGATAACCCCAAGTTGTCAACAAAATAGTCAAAAACAAATCGTCCCCAGACTATTCTTTTACTATTTTTAAATTTTCCCCCTGTAAAGGGACAGGCCCGACTTCAGCGGTGCCTTGTTGCACTCGTGCACTGCGGGCAAACACGAAACGCCCTGGAGCGCGCGGCGCCCTGCGGGCCTCGGCCGGGGCCCTGCGGCTCCGTCCTCTCCCCGTGTGGCCTTGCTGTTCCCCCCCCCCGCCCCCTCTGGGCCCACGCAGGAGATGCTCCACCACCACCACCACCATAAGCTGGAGGGGGGAAGGAAGTGGAGGAGGAGGAGGAGGAGGACGAAGAGGAGGAGAAGGAGGAGGAGGAGGAGGACGAGGAGGAGGATGAGGAGGAGAAAGAAGACCCTCTCCCCCTCCAACTTCTGGTGGTGGTGGTGGCGGAAAACGAGCCCATCAGATACCACTGAAGATGACGGACATAGGAGCCCACGGCGATCGACCAGGCCACCCCGCTGAACGGGCGCCCTTGCATGGCACCGCGGGCG